GTGCAACATCATCAAGGACTCGGGGAGAGCGGACCTTTTAGGATTTTTTCAGTATTCTGATTTAGTCCTTTCTAGGGTCGTATGTCAAACACCAATGTGTAAATACAGTTTTAAAGGAAAATTCTGTGTGATTTCCCTGCCTTATTGGGTTGGAAGGAAGTGTTAAGAATGTGTCATTTAACTGCCTACTGCAGTTTTAGTTTCTTAGCTTCTTTGTATCTTCCATGTAGAGGTGGATGGGAGGAATCTTTTGAACTGCAGAGTTCAACACACCTCATTTCTGAGCTTGTGCTGTACAATGAAGACAGATGTTTTTTCTAAGCTTATCAAATGTATTTCCTTCCATGAAATAGGAAGCAAGAACAGTTAAATGTGTTTGGGTATGGAATGCCCAATTATGTAAAACAAAAATTCATGTAATAAAATTCCAATCAACAGCAATTGGCTGGACCTAAGCAATACATTTCTGTGAAGATTTGTGTTTTCAATAGACCCTTAATTAACCATGTAATCCCACACAGTAATTATATTTCATGAGACTGGCTAGTCAAATAAAGATGGTACTTATCAACCTGCAGTATATCTGTAGAGAACCATCATGGGCACAAATCTTCATTTTTAAAATAATTGTGGTTTAGGGAAGCTAATTGTGAAATTGTTTTCATCAGCATGCGGCTGATTGTGTAGGAATGTGTAGGATTGCTGGTTTGCTATACCTGACTTGTGATTACTGGCTGTTTCATGAAATAAAACTGATGTAAGACGCACCTTAGAGATGCACTTTTTAAAATTATTATCATGTAGTGTGGTATGAATTTTAGGCACGGATTCAGTTATCTCCCTTACTTGTATGCATGTGAATAAGAATAACTTTGGCTTGAAACTGAGAAAACATGAGATATGTGAGTAGCTCCGAAGCAGTCGGGCCTTGGTGACGCAAAACTTGGCGTGGGTCTATTCACCCACTTAACTCCCCAGCTGAGTGCTGCCGGGGCATCTGTGGCATAATGGAGATGCAGTATCAGAGGGGAGAGGCTGGCACTCCTAAGATGCCAGAAGCCTCCTAAGAGGTTTAGTGTGCTGTGGCTTTGTCTTTGCAGCTTGAAGCAAAAGTTGTGAAATTCTGAAGTAGGCTCAAGAGATCTTAATTTTTATTGCAACTTACCTTGGAGAATTAGGCATCCTTTCAAGTATAATTCGCAGTAGGACTGTGACTTGTTTCCCTTGTGTTCTTACAGTGAGAGCATTGTTTATCACTCCTCCTGAGGCAGAATCAGCTTTTAAAACTTCTAGTCTAAATAGAATTGTCTTCCAGAGTGATTGTTCTTAACTTGCTGGCTTAACCCGAGAGGAGCTAACTCGAGTGCAGATAATCAAGATTTAAGTAAGACAGGAGTCTATAAAAAACTGAATGTTTAGACCCACTTCTGTTCTTAAATAAAGGTGTCTATGTGCGGAATTATCCCAGCAGAGCCACTTCTGTGCTTCTGAGCAATGGAATTGGAATTTAATTTTGCCACTTCAGGGATGAAGACAAACCGAGTAATTAATAGGGAGTTATTTGCTCTCCCCAGGAGACACAGTAGTAGGCATCTAGTCCTTAGAATACACTTTAAAGGAAGCAATGGCAACTCTGGATGGCTAAGTTGTGGAGCCGTGTGGACTTTGTGTTTGGGGGCTTATATTTGGGGACAGTAGTCTGTGGAGCACTGAGATGTCAGCATGTTCTGATCTGGGAGCAGGGTTCACATTCTCTGTCTCTCTTCCCTCAACTAGCTGTCTGGGCCCTAATTACTCTCTTCTTGGGAGCATGGAGGAAAAGGAATTGCCATCTGTTACAAAATTGCAATGTTACTGCCTCTTCATCTTCCTTCTAATAAAGCATATGACAGTGTGGACAAAATTGGGAGGGGGCAGAACAGAGAGAGAGAAATCTGTCAGTGTCTGTGTTCTGCTGTCTGCTTCTCTTCTAATTAAAAGCAAGTGTTATTTAGACAACCTAATGAAATTGTACCCATCAGCCTAATGTGCCATGCTGAAAATGTAATAAATGTTATCTTTTACAATAAGTATTTCTCCTTATCTGTTCCAAAAAATACAAATTAAGATGTTACTGATCACGGAAATCGTAACCTTAAAGCCCCATTGCTTTAAAACCTCAACTTCCAGATTACAAAATTTAACTTTGTAGAAAAGAAACCACACAGAATATAATTTAAAGAGTATAAACTTTGTGTGTCACTACAACAGTTTGGGTCTTAAAAAAAATCCTTGGAACAGTCTTGTTCTAACTTGCTTCCATCAATATCTTGTGGGTCATACTCATACTGAAAAGTCTCTAACTTTGCATGTGGAACATACATCACAACCTAAGTATGAACCAAGTAAACCATTGTTGAAAATCCAAATTGAGAAGTACTAAGGAAGAGAAACGAAACGTTTCTTCCTCAGTATTGAATATAATGCTGACAAGGAGGACAGTAGTAATATTCACTTGCTGTTTTATTGTAGGTTTAAAAAAAAAATTTAAGAATTGGTGTTCTTCCTTTTCTGCAGCTCTATTGTGAGCTAGCAGCATGTGGTGGCTTGTGTTTTTGACAATGATCTTGAATTTGCTTGTCATTTCAGAATACCTGACGGTGTTTTCCCAGATGATTGCGTTCCATGATCCAGAGCTGAGTAACCACCTTAATGAAATTGGTTTTATTCCAGATGTAAGTGCTAAGGGTTCTTACAAGCATTGTTCAAAGGAAGTAAAAAATGGAAAATGAGGGCAACTAGGATGAGATGCCTTTCCGGACTATTTCAGTAGCAGTTTGACATAAGTGAAACTTTTGTATTAATGGACCTTTCTGAGTATGCTGATAAAATGGTAATGCTTTGATTGTTGTTTTACATACCTCAGTCCTTCCCATTCTGTTGGCATGGTAAATGCATTGAAAATACTACTAGTCAGTTATTATAACTTACAGATTCATCTTAAAAGATGTATATAATTTTATTTTTAAAGCATGGATTAATATACAATAATTAATGTGGCCATAAATGACTAATAGCAGAATTTCTGCAAACTAATTAAATGCCATTGGTTAACACAAAAGACACATTAATTTGCAAGTAATAGAAAAAACATGTGCAAGTGATAGTTAATCTGTAGATATGTCAGACCTTGGAAAATGCTTAGCGTTGTTTGTTGGAGTCTATCAGCAACATTGGACAAATATGTAACTTGTGCTAAGTTTTATGCTTTCATTGGAAGAAGACTGTAAGATGGAGGAAAATGAAAACGAAACACAGCCAAAATATAGAGAGGGAGGGCTATGTTGGAAAAAGCAAAACAAGGCCTTCTTTAGAGCCTCACTTTTAGCTATCACTGTAAATAGTGAAGCTTTCCTCCTTTGCTTAGAGAGGCGTGTATAGTCCAGAAAGCCAAGATAATAATACTCTATAAAAATGTTTGTCTACCTAGTATAGTGTTACTGAAGTTTATGGCTGATGTTTCTGAAAAGCAGATTTAGGCAAGGCTATAGAGAGGACATTGTTAATTGATACGATCTATATCATGATATATTTGACATTTAGAAATTTGGTAATTACAAGCTGGTCATAAGAACAGATGATGACTGAGAGGTCAAAATAGAAGAAGGAAACTGAAGCCAGGAGATGTTGATGTAGAAATACAAATTTCATAAATAAGAAATTTATATGCATTTCTTCTATAAACAATGTAAAGCTTATTTTATCAGAAAAGCCTTATGCTTATTAGGAAATGCTTTAAATTGAAGCAGCAAGGCCAAGCGTCTGAAAGTAATTTGTTGTACACAATTCCTGGGTGAATTTGTGTGTCTTTGGGACTGGCAGATACTCATTATCACTGTTTACAAAGATTGTAATGGAAAAGCAAATATATGCTTTCATTTGTAGAGGTGTTTTTAATGTAATAATGTTGTTTATGAATGGTACATATTTAAAAGATACTGTGGCAGTAAAATGAGCAGAAGAGAAAGCCAGCATGTTGCATTATAAGGAGAGATGTTTGAGAAGGCCACGTATACAGCAGTGTGCTCAGGTGGCCAAAAAGGCCAATGGCATCCTGGCTTGTATCAGGAATAGTGTGGCCAGCAGGACCAGGGAGGTGATAGTGCCCCTGTACTCGGTACTGGTGAGGCCGCACCTCGAGTACTGTGTTCAGTTTTGGGCCTCTCACTACAAGAAGGACATTTTGATGCTGGAGCGTGTCCAAAGAAGGGCAACGAAGCTGGTGAAGGGTCTGGAGAGCAAGTCTTCTGAGGAGTGGCTGAGGGAGCTGGGGCTGTTTAGTTTGGAGAAGAGGAGGCTGAGGGGAGACCTTATTGCTCTCTACAACTACCTGAAAGGAGGCTGTAGTGAGGTGGGAGTCAGTCTCTTCTCCCAAGTAACAAGGGATAGGACGAGAGGAAACGGCCTCAAGCTGTGCCAGGGGAGGTAGGTTGGATATTAGGAAAAACTTCTTCACTGGAAGGGTGGTCAAGCACTGGAACAGGCTGCCCAGGGAAGTGGTTGAGTCCCCATCCCTGGAGGTGTTTAAAAGACGGGTAGGTGTGGTGCTTAGGGACATGGTTTAGTGGTGGACTTGGCAGTGCTAGGTTAACGGTTGGACTTTAGGGTCTTTTCCAACCTTGACGATTCTATGATTCTATATTACTGATGACCCACATCTGAAGTGGGTGGGAGGAAGGAAGATGAAGGGAAGGTGGGGAGAAGGGAGAACATTAATCTGTAGAAAGCCTAAATATTTGGGGGGATGAAGGGCATGGGTAACAGCAACATTTAAGTTCCTGAGGGAGAATCAATTTTGCAGCATCACTGTGTGAATGCACTTGATATTTGTTTGTTAAAGGCTGTGCATGACCAAAGCAATTCCTCTGTGTATTTTTTCCAGGATCATAAAATCATAGAATCATAGAATACCAGGTTGGAAGGGACCTCAGGGATCATCTGGTCCAACCTTTCTAGCACAATCTAGACGAGATGCCCCAGCACCATGTCCAGCTGAGTCTTAAATGTGTTCAGTGTAGCAGAGTCAACCACTTCCCTGGGGAGATTATTCCAATGATTGACTGTTCTCATTGTGAAAAATTTACCTCTCGTGTCCAATCGGAGTCTCCCTGGGAGTAACTTGTGCCCGTTACCCCTTGTCCTCACCATGTGACTCCTTGTAAAAAGGGAGTCTCCATCTTCTTTGTAGCTCCCCTTTAAGTACTGGTACCTGGTGATGAGATCACCTCTAAGCCTCCTTCTCTCAAAGGCTGAACAAACCCAGCTCTCTCAGCCTGTCCTCACAGGGCAGGCTTCCCAGGCCCTTGATCATCTTGGTGGCCCTTCTCTGGACCCCCTCCAGCCTGTCCACATCTTTTTTGTATAACGGGGACCAGAAGTGTGCACAGTATTCCAGGTGTGGCCTGACAAGCGCTGAGCAGAGAGGGATAATGACTTCTTTATCTCTGCTGGTGATGCCCTTTTTGATGCAGCCCAGCATCCTATTGGCCGCCTTGGCTGCAGCAGCACGCTGTTCACTCCTGTTGAGCTTCCTGTCCACCAGGACCCCCAGGTCCCTTTCCACGGAGCTGCTCTCGAGCCAGGTGGATCCCAGTCTGAGCTGCAATCCTGGATTATGTTTTCCCAGGTGCAAGACCTTACACTTGTCTTTGTTAAACTTCATCAAGTTCTTGTTAGCCCACTCCTCCAGCCTATCCAGATCTTCCTGCAGGGCGGCTCTCCCTTCCAGAGTGTCTACTTCCCCACTCAATTTGGTGCCATCTGTGAACTTCATCAGGCTACACTTGATCCCATTATCCAGATCGCTTATGAAGATAATAACGTTGGGCCCAATATCAGTCCCTGGGGGATGCCACTTGTGATGGGTTGCCAGTTTGAAGAAGAGCCATTTACCACCACCGTTTGGGTGCGGCCTGTCAGCCAATTCCTCACCCACTGCACCGACCACTTGTCCAGGCCGTAACGCATCAGTTTCTCCAGGAGGAGGCCTTGGGGAACCATATCGAAGGCCTTGGAGAAGTCCAAGTAGACAA